TTCTTTAAAAACATTATAGTTAACCTTTCATTTCTTATATTTTATAATTTTAAATTATATTTACATATCTAATTAAACAAAATATTTTCCTAGCAATAAATTCACACTTTTAGCCAACATGCCAACCCTCATGTATACTACAACAATTTGCAATAGCTTCCCAACCTATCCTTCCACCACCTCCACCTCCTATTTTTGCTGCCCCACCGCAAGCAATTTGCGAACCATGCCTACAGGTTCTGATTACCAAGATAAACAATTTAAATTTATTAATTAGAGTTTTGCTATCTTTAATAAAATAAAAATAATTTAATTTAAGCCTTTCTTACCTCCTCCTCCAGCAATGTCACCTGTTGTTTTACAACCACCAATTGCACCTATATGCCCTCCAATATGTCAGCCGGTTAGTCTATCTAACTTATATTTAACTTTGTTTTTTACATAAATAATTTAGTTAATTATGCCACCACCTCCAATTCCTCCTCCGCCACCTCCAATATTTGCACCTCCATCTCCCCCACCTGGAATTCCATTAAATGCATTTTGTATGCAGGTACATAGGAGCATTTTAAATAAATTATTAATTAATAATGACTTTCTTATTAATTGACAGTAAATTATTAATCAAATCACAATTTTCAGGCATGCCCTCCAATGATGCAAAATATGGTTATAATTTAATATATTTTGTTTATTTCGTTTAATTTAAAGGTCCCAATACCTCCCTCATTTCCACTTCCTCCATCAGCACCTCCATCAGTTATTTTAGCTCAACCACCTCCTAATACTTTTTGTGGACCTCCATGTCCTGTAAATATTTTATTTAAATTAAAAATTTATTGTGGAAATTAATTTATTTAATTTAGCCTCCTCCGATGATGTTTTGTCTTAATGTACCCCCAGGTATTCTCTATTAGATAAATTAAGAATTAATTTGAATTTTAATGAAAATAAATATTTTTTGCTTTATTACTAGCCCATAATAAAAAAAAATTAACATAAATTTAAGCCTCACATCTACCTATACCTCCGCCATTATTTGACATGCCACCTCCACCGCCAATGGGTACCAAAAATATTTTTTTATTCAAATATTATTTTTAATTTTAATTAAAATTAATTTTTAATAAAAACAAGTTTAAGGCTGTATTTGCCCTCCAGGTTATGTGCCTTGTTCTAAAAAATTTTGTTGCTCACGACGAAAGAATAGGGATTCGCCATTAAAGGAATTTGTTAAAACTAACAGCTCAAAAAATGATGAAAGGTATTACCAAACAAATAATTCTCTCAGGGCATGGGATTTTTAAATAATATTTAAAAAAAAGTCAAAATTTTAATTTTTAAAGTAATAACGGCAGCATTAACAAGGAAAATTCCACAAAACCCCAACAAAATATAATTAAACAAACAACAAATTCAAATAAATTATTTTCAATTTTAACAACCGAAATGCCTACAATTGTAATTCATAGGCATAAGACAACAACAAATAACAATATTCAACAAATAGTAACACCTACAAAAGTTGATCTTTCCTCTTCATATTTACAAAAAGCTTCTGTAAATATTACTTAAAATTAGGAAAATTTCCCCGACCCCGGCCCGAACCTTGAAGGCTCTAACCCGACATGCTCTCCCCGGCAAACCCCGATCCCCGACACACCCGACCCCGAAGGTTTGGGGTGCTATACTACTTTAAATTCTTAAAATAATTTAAAATTCTCCAAATTCCTTAAATTATTTTAATTTTTTTCAGCAAACTAAACATAAAAGAACAAGAAAAGATTATGAAGAAGAAATATTGCAAAAACAAAGAAGAATATCTTCAGATAATAATGAAAATAATATATTAATTAATAATATGCCTTTGTTAAAATTATTTTATTCAGTTGCTGGTGCAGCTTAATTAATTTTTGTTTGTAAATTTATTTTTAAAAAAATATTTTCTAAATAAATACATTTATTTTTTGTTTTAGACTTTTCCCTTCTGTGTGTTCCTAGGGATAAATCCACATAAAAGATATAAAAAATTTTCTATAATTTACTAGAAAATTACTAATTAAAAATTTCTACAAATTACATGCTTAAATGTTCTTGCTGGCCCAAACAGACTTCGATTTTTTATATTTAATTTTATAAATTCAGACTGAGTTTGAATTTAGCGGAGCGGCAACCCTACGTATCTGGTTTGGTGTCTCCGTTTTTTCTCATTTCTCCCTATTTTAAGAAAAAATCATAACTTTTTTTAAAATTGAGTTTAAAATTTTATTTTTTGCCAAAATATAAATTGAGGTGTTATCTATGATTTTCCAAAAAATCGAAAATTTTGAACGACTTAGCTAAAAGTTATAAATTTTCTAACAAAGTATTACTTTTCTTTAAAAAATGAGTAAAATATGAGGTACTCTTTGTTAAAAATTCTCAAAAATTTATTTTTAAATTTAAAATTCTAAAAATTATACCAAAAAGTAGAGCACACTTCAAACTATTTTAAATTTATTTTATAATTTTTTATATTTAATTTATAATTTTTTTTCATCAAATTTCAATTTTTAACGATTCTTTTAAAAGTCTTCTACCTGCCCCTAGCAGGATAAAGGAGAGTTACAGTAACCTTTGCCTATTGTTGGCTTGCGAATACATAGGTTGATTGGCGATTAATTGTCCGATAATAGGGTTGTTTTGCGAATAAATGGGGTGTGCACGTTTACAAGCTTTTCCTTAAGAAACGTTGATTTGCATTTCCCTAATCTTTATTCGTTTTCCTATTTTTTAATAATTTGATTAATTAATTTAAGAAGAATGATACGAACATCAACAGATTTAACAACTTGGACTTTATTTGAGAAAATTCGTTTGCTTGAACTTTTTATGAATAAAGAAATTTTATGGTTAATTATATTTTTAAAAATTTTTTTTATTTTTAAATTTTAGGGAAGGACGTGCAGAAATTTTACAAAATGAATTTGCACAAAGGCCTCATAATTTCTTTACTGTTCAGGTTAATTTTTTTGAGAAAATTTTCTGGGGAAAAAACATGAAATTTCGAACTTGTGTAGTTTACACCCCATAAGCACCGCCTCTTTTTCTTCCATAAAATGATCAAACTGTCAATGTTATCATTTTTATTGTGGTCACCTTCTAAGGAAAAGAAAGAAAGGAAAAGGGGCGGAGCTTATGGGGTGTAAACTACACAAGAACAAAATTTCTAATTATATTAGTAAATTTATGAAAAAATGGGTAGGTTGGATGTTTAACTGACTTTTTCCGAATTATTAAAAAAATTTTAAATTGAGCGAAGCTTGGTTAAACTGTCATACCCTCCTAATTTTTTAGTTCTATTTTTATCAGAATATCTTTAGAATATCCGTCAAGAGCTTCATCAAATATTCGTAACTCCAAATCCTGAACATGTTTATGGTCTTCCTCTGCATCCACGTGGCAAAGAGGCGGCAGAAATGTGGCTGAAATATTTTAGAAAAGAATTAACCAAACAACGAGAACTTCAAAAACAAATGTTTGCTATTTCGATGCGTCGACATTTGGATTTAATTAAACGTTTTCAACAAGGAAAATTACCTCCACAAGAAATCGAAGCAATTTTGACTGAAGCACGTGAACGAGATGCACAGGTTTTTAAGACAATACTACAGGGGAGGGACGGGAATAATTTGTAGGAACTTCGGAGAATCAAAAAAAATAGGCAGGCAAAAAATTATCAAGTTCTCCTACTTTCTGGGACGGAGTTCAATTATGTATTTTGGGTGCGGCCCAAATTGGCGCAGGCTAAAACTTCGAGACCGAAACGGCGAACGATAAAACGGCACAAACTATCGCAATAGTATTCCCCGCTATTGGAACAACTTTACTCGCATTTTAAGTCTGCGTCATTATAACCGTGAGCCATTTTGGCCGTTCAGCGTCTTTGACCATGCCATTTAGGGCTCCCAACTATTTCTGTTGTAATAAAAATATTTCCACTCATAGCTTATTGTAATTGTTGCTAATTTTTCAGAAGATTTTACTTAATTTTCCTCTTTTGCTAGAATGTTTTTAGAGAAGATATAATCGTTAAAAATTTTCATTTCTCTTAATTAACAAAATCGAATTATTCTTTTAAGATTAATTTACTTATTGCTTTTAGTTTTTATAATTTTTTTCCAATTTAGCGCCCGGATCGAGAGCTTTATGAGACTAAACTTAAAGAGATGTTGGATAAAATACAATTGGATAGCCTAGATAATGTTTGTTTTGAATTTCATTAATTTTATAGTATTCCTTTTTTTCAAGATTCGTACTTTCTCTGATTATTGTTCTTATTTGCGCGGTGAAAAAATTACAACGCCGCCTCCTGAGCCGGTAGAAGAAGCTTTTCCAAAATCGCCAAGTCTTGTTCGATTGAAAAGTCCTTTATTGCATTCACCAGAGCTTGTGTTGAAAGGTTTTCTAATATTAAAATATATATTTAAGGAGTCCTGGGTCTTAAATAATAAACAAATTTTTCATAAAAATTTAAATAATTGACAATCTAATATTGTTTTAGTTAGAAAAATTTTTGAGGAATTTTTGTTTCATTTATTTTCGCTGTCAATGAAAAAATATTTTTTGAGGTTCTCTTAAATTTTTTGTCTAATCAAAGTCCTTTAAATGCTAGGGTGGTTCTTATTTTTCCTTAGAATCATTATGGTTCATGAGACAACCCAAAATAATTTTTTTTCTTATTTCTTTTTCTGACATGGGGGAATTTTCTTAACCCATGAATTTATTAAAACAACTAAAAAAATTAGATAAATTTAATTATAAAGTTAATTTTTTGGGCAAAATTGATTTTTCTTTAATTCCTCAAAAATTTTTCTGACTTCTTGAACAAAAACTAAAATTTAATTAATTTTAAACTAAAAAATGCTTAAATTAAATGAAATTAAGAAAAATATGAAATAAACGAATATGTCAAAGTTAACAAACCACAATCAAAATTGGAAAAGGCGGTTCAAAAAATTATGAGCTTGAGTAATAGACAAAATTTAATGACAAAACCGTGTAAAATTGAACAAAAAAGTCAATTAAACCAAAATATAAATAAACATGGGGTAAAAGATTTAATGAAAATCAACACATTTCAAACTTTGGACACAACACTAAAAAATTCAGACATCAAGAACAATACGATCCAAACACAAGAACAAAGGGCTTCTACAAATGATGTGAATCAAAGAACCACAACGATCACTTGTGTGGGCAATGCGAGACAAAATGATGAGTTTCCGGTTCTTGACGATTTTTCTTTATTGGAAGATGATGAATCTAATGAAGAAGGCAACGAGGTAGAGGTTAGTCCCACAAAATCGAAACAATTTTCAACTGTAAACAATCAAGAAAAGGAAGAAGATTTAAATAAATTTGTTAACACGAAGTTAATCCAAGAGGATAATGAAGCTAAAAGTCCTTTTAAAAAGCATGACGAAAAATTAATTGACGAGGAAGAATGTAATAAGTCGATTAAATCTAATGAAGCTATTGAAGAAGAGGATATATTAAAAACTGTAGATGATGTTGAGATTTGTGGGGGCAATATTTTGGAATATAATGACGATATTATAATTAAAAAGCAGAATATTGATAAGAAGAATAACACAAGAGAGATTAATGGTGATAAAATAAATAGGAATATTTTTGAGGAAGAAGAAGAAGATGAGATTATGAATGATATTGAAACAGGAGATAATGATGTTGTTGTGTTAAATACTGATGAAGAAGAAGAAGTGAAGAGCATTAAAGAAGATGATATTAAAGTTATTGAAGAAACTTCCGAAAAAGAAGGAAATGGTGATAAAAATATTAACGCTGTAGAAAATCCAGAAGTAATTGTTGTTGAGGATGATGAAATAATTGTTGATTTTGTTAAAATAAATAAAGAGGAAAGTGTGTTGGATGAGGAAGAGAATGTTTTGATTGAAAAGGAAATGGAAAAAAGTTTCCAGGAAAGCTTTATCGATGCAAACTTGGAATTTGGTAATGTATCTATAGAGGAAAAAGTAGCAGAAATTGTATTGAAACATTCAAATATGGAATATGCCAAATTAGCTTCAAGTGAAGCAACTTTAGAAAGAATAAACCAATCACTTCAACTGATCAAAATGGATGGGCAAGAGAACGATATATTCGTGGAATGTGTTCTAAAAATTGTTCAATGTGCTTCTGTTGAGGAAAAAGTTATTGTGCCGCCTTTGCCAATTACAAATTCCCTTGAGGGTGAGGGAAGAAAGAAGAATTGGAGTATAAATTTGTTTGAATTCTAATAATTTTTCGTAAAATTTTTCGGCTAATTTAACAATGTCTGAACTTTTTGCAATTTTAATTTTCGTTCCTTTTAGCTTACTTTCTAACGTAAATCGCCTCGCTTTGAAACAGAAAATGTTCCTACTTTTCAGTTTTAAATTTTAGAATTCAAACATATTTATCTCCATTTACTTTTCCTATTTTTTTCTATTTTCCGCGTTAAAACCGCCATATTTATTTAGCTCATTACTTTTTGTTATATTTACGTTTTTAATTTTAGAACCTATGACTTCTACAAAAGCAGCTCAAATTAATGCATTAGAAGCTGAATTAATTGAGCCTGCTACACAACCATCTAAACAACAACAATCACGACGTCGACGACAAAAGTCAACTTCACAAAAAGCCAAACCTGCAAAAACACAATTGAAAACACCACAACAATTACCGGCAATTAAAACTGCAGCATTGCCTCCTCCTCCAAGAAATTTGCGAAGTTCTACAGCTAAGAAAATAATTGAAGAAGAAATGGAAGCACCTATAACAATACCAAAAACTGAAGGGGAAGAAATTAAGACAGTTGCTAGTGAAGAATTACCATCTACAGTTGCTCCTATTGGATCGAGAAAACGCAAGTGAGTTATTTGATTTTAAAAGTAGAATTGAATATTTAGAGCTTTTTTAACTTTAAAACACTCAGGAGAAATGTGACTGAATTCTTGAAGCCTCCCCAAACTGACATTAATGATCAGCAGCATGATGAGGATGAAGGGCCTCCTGCAAAAAATTTACGTCGATCTTCGCATTCAAGTGAATAATTTTTAAAATTATTATTTAATTAAAAAATATTCAGGCCCCTCTTCTCAAAATGAGCCTAAAACTTCAACAGAATCCAAGAAAGCTCTTAAACAACCCGATTCTGCTTCACTCATTCCTGAGATTTCGTCGGTTAAAGAAAAGGCTGAAGCTCCAATCAAAATTGAGCAGGAGCAACCTATAGTGCCAATAAAAACCCCTCCACCCCCACCTTTACAACTTTCAACACCAACTCTTCATTCTCATGTTGCTGCGACTGCTAAATTGCGCTCATCCTTGCGTAGAGCAGCGCTTGCAAGGTTTTTTGTTCGTTTAAAACTAACTTTGTTTAATTTAATTATTCCGAGATATTTAAAAAAATATTGCTATTATTTGAATAATGCCTTCTCTCTAATAAATATTTACATATCTAATTTTATCAAATATTTGTTTTATAGCGCTACTCCATCTCCAGCTGTTGATAGCGTTGGTACAAACGGACTTTTCCTCCGCCCGGGCAACCATTCTTCTAGTGAAGTTATTCCCAAAGAAGTATTACTAACTCTTTGGAAAGATATTCGTACACATCGTCACTCTTATGTATTTGATCAGCCAGTCGATGAAGGGGAAGTACCTGGTTATCATTCAGCTATAAAAAAGTTTTTTTTTAATTTTATTTTTAAATAAATTTGTTTTTATTTGTTTAGACCTATGGATTTAAATACATTATTTCAACTTATTGAATCCTTTACTATACAAACATTTGGTCAATTCACTCATCATATTTTGAAAATATTTGCTAATGCAGTAATGTACAACAGTACTGGCCATCATGTCAACACATGTGCCAAGGAAATGCTAGCTTATGCTTTGAAGTGTATTGAGGTTATTTTTTATGTTTATTTGAAAAATTTGTTGAAATTTATTCAGAAAATATTTTATAATGATCGGGTTTATTTTTATGTCTAATTGACTTGTTCATTACTAATTTAAGTTTTCTGACCGGTGGAATTGAAACTCAACCAAAATTCGTACTCATATTTTTTTTTGAGTACGAGTAACAAAAATTGGCAGGTACGAGAAAAAAATAAGGCCTGTACGAAAGTACGAGCAAATTTCAAAATTCCAACCACTGTTTCTGACCAAATTTCGTATTATTAAAAAGCTTGGATGAACCTATTTTTTAATTAATTAAATTACTTTTAGGTAGTTCAATATCCCTCTGGTCAATGGTCTGCTGGAATTTTTTCCACCCCAATTTTTGGTACATCAAGTAATTGCCAAAGCATTGCCAGTGAAAGTGATTGTCCTTTTGATGGCCAATTGTCACGTAGCAGCAGTGGCATTTCTTGTTCACAAACAGCAAGTACAAGTAATGCAGCAAAAACTTCAACACAACAAAAGTTATTGAGAAGTTCTTCAATTAGCAAAAGAGAAACGAGTAAAACAAAAGCAATTCCTTCATCAGCTTCATCCTCAACTTCTTCACATTCTGAAACAAAGAAAGAGGTGACTTTTTTTTTATTAATAATTTTAAAAATAATTTAAAAAGCTGGCCTAAATTGGTCATGGTACCTTAGGTTTTAGACCAGATTCCTTTTTTATTGAAGGGTTTTTTGGGGGGTTTTTTGCTTTTAAAATTGTTTAATCCCCAATTCCAACTTTGTAAAATTGTTAAATTTAGCTTTTAATCTCTAGTATTTTATTTTTAAGACAGAAAATGACAAGCAAATATCAAATGTTCCGAAGAATGAAACCTTGCCTAAGAAACGCAGATTACACAGAACACGATGAAATGATTTTGTTTTTAATGATTTTTTTCGACGTAGTGACAGAAACGTAAATGATTTTTATATTTAGAGAGAGAGAGCATTTTAATATCCAAAGAGAATTCATTTTAGAATTATTTTTCTATTGCTGAATAAATTTCCCATCTTTATAATCTTACAATTAGCTTGTACAACAGTCAATTCTTTGGAAAACTTGGGTTTTAAAATATTAAGCTAAATAATTAGAACAAAATGTAATTTAAAATTATTTTTATTATTAATTTTATGATTCAGCTTTAATTCTTTAATTTTTTATTAATTAAAGTTGAAAATGAAACTAAAGAGCAGGAATGACAAATTTTCGAAAAAATGTTTCTGAAAATATTGGGAGTTTTATTTAAATAAAAATTTTAAAAAATATTAAATTATTCTAAAAATATTAAAAATAAAAATGATTAAAAAAGTTTTAGAAAAATATTTATATTTTTTAATTTCAATTATGATAATAACTACAATTATTAACAAAGTTTTATTTTGCTTGCCAATTTCTAATAAAGTGTGTAAATTAATTTAACTTTAATAAAATAAAAAAAGGTTTTAAGCTTTTAAGATAAGTTTATCTTGAATTTTGTAATTCTCGATTTTGTTGAAAATTGAGTTTGATGAATAGTTGTTGATTTTGATTGTGTCCAGTGTTTGAAGTTCGTGCCTATATAAAAGTACGAGTACCTGTGTACGAGAAAACAGGGCTTCTTGGAATGCACATCGTATAAACTGTTGCCTTCCCTAAATAATTACCCCACTTCCATTAATTACCCCATACAGCAAAGATTGAAACAATAATTACCCCCCATCCCTCCAACAAATACACTAAAACACGTTCAAATTTCAAACCCTCCCTCGATTAATTATTCCCTTTCGCGGAAGGTCAAAACAATAGGGTAGTTATTAAAGGATTTATAACGAAGGCTAAAAATGGGACAGAACGAGTACGAGGGAAAATAAGGCCTGTACGAATTATGAGTACGAGCAAAATCTAAAATTTTAAAATTTCCACACTATAGCAGTATCACAAAGTATTGGTCGATATATTTTTTTGTGTTTAGATAATTATGAGAGTTGTATTTAACAATTTAACTACTTTTAGTTATATATGGGTACTGAAATTGTTGATGATAAAACGTTACCTTGGATGGTAACAATTCAAATGAAACATAATTATTCTAAATTAAATATTCATACACAAGTATTTTGTACTGGAACTATAATTAATGAAAAATATATTCTTACAGCTGCACATTGTTTTCAAGGATGGACAAAAAATGGTAAAAATATATATTGTTTTAATTAATAGAAAATGGAGGAGTTAAAGTAAATGATCTCTTCCTCTCATTATAGTAAGAGCGAGGTAAAAGTTTAATCCCGCGTAGGCTTTGATCCTGCGACCTCCTGGCAGTTATTGCTAGGCGTTTTCGCTCACCGCGTACAGGTGCTCTACCAACTGAGCTACCGGGACGCTGTTTTCACCTTCTCTCTCAATAGATCTTAAACCACCGCCTAGTGAGAGTTTTAAATGCTGCCAGCTTTAAGAAAAGCTTTGAATTTGCAGTTTATGTGGAAGAAAGTCAGTAAAAATTTAGCAAAAAATTTCTTAAAGCTAAAATTTAATGAAAAAATTTTAAAATAATTTTCAGAAATATTATCTAATCCGTCAGCTTCTTTGGTTATTGGTTTTGGCTCAACAAATTTTAAAAATCAGACATTAATTGAATTTAACAATAAAATGATTAAAATACACCCTAGAAATAAAAACACAAATAATGGGATTTTTGGAAATTTACTCTATGCTGATCTTGCTTTAATTGAAGTATAATAGATTAATTAAATATACCACAATTTTACTTAAATATTCTTTTCCAAATTTGTTGAATTTTAGGAAAATTTCAAGCTACAACCTGAAATTTTTATTTTTCCATAAAATTAGTTTTTATGATTATTTGGTTACAACAATTAAAAAAATATTTGTTAGAAATTAATTTAAAATTAAAAATATTTCTTAAACTTCAGTCCTCTCTCAGTCTTTGTTTTTTAGTTCTTCTCTTTAATTATTTTTAATTCAAATACTTATTTAGTTACCAGAATCATCAAAATTAAATTTATTTTCTTCGCAAAATGCCCGTTCAATTAAATTAACAAATAGACTTCCATTAATTAAAACAAAAACTTTAATTGCTGGTTGGGGATGGATCAAACCTTTTTGTGAGGTTAATGCTAGTATCGAAGGGAAAACAGATAAATTACAATCTGGATGGGTCGAATTAATGGAAAATAATTTATATTGTGTTAAGGAAATGGAAGGTATGTAGTAGAGCTTTGCCGGAAGTTCCGGGATTTTTTGGTTCCAGATCCGGTCAACATTTCAGTTCCGGGTCAGGCCAAATTTGCGGTTCCGGCGAAGCACTAGGTAGTAAATAAGCAGCTAATTTCTTTGGGAAATAAATTTTAAATTATTCAAAATTTCTTTTTAACTTATTCAAAATTATTTCTAAAATAATTTTTTACCCAAAACTTTCAATTTTGTATTAAAATAAAAATTAATTTGATCTAAAAATTTTCAAGTTTCACTCCTTCAACAATTTAATAAAACATTTGGTCAAAATTTAAATATTCCTTTCTGCCTCACTTCTTGGATAAAAAAAATTACTGAGAATAATTGGAGTGACAAATTATGTGTACGTCCAAGTCCTTCATCTATTCAATATGTACATTTTAATTAAAAAATAATTTTAGAACTTCTTGAGGGCTAAAACTGTTATCTTTTGATAAGGGGTATTTTACACTATCTCCTCTACCTTAAATTTAAAAATTATTCTTCAAATATTTTAAGGGAGATAGTGGAGGCCCTTTACTTGTTGATTTTGGAGATTCTTGGTATCAAATTGGTGTTGTTACACAAGGAATGTGTAATAAAGATAAAAAATTTATTTCTAATCAAGACTATGGTAATAAATAATTTTTAAAGAGATTAATTTTTATTTAAAGCTACATTTACACAAATTGATTGTGAATGGATACAAACTGAAACTAAAGGAAAAGTTTTGTGTATTTAAATTATTTTATTTGTTATTTTAAATTAAAAAATATTTTTAACTGATAAATTTTAAATTTAATTTTTAAAAAATTTAAAATTAATTGGATTACATTATTTTCTAATAATGCCCTTTTCTATAATAGTGTTACCTAGAATATTTGAATTTTTAAAAATTCAGGTTTTTTATAAAAGTTTCGAGTTTATTATTTATTTTGTTCTAAAAATCTCTTTATTTTTAAAATATACCGATTCTTAGAAAAAATTTATTTTTAATTTATAAAAACTTTCAAAGAATTTAAAAGATTGGCACTTTCTTTTCAATATTTCTTCTATTTTAGGAATTATCAAAAAAAATTAAAATAATTTTTTTAATAAATTTGGGTAACAATAAATATATTCTCTTTTTAATTATATTTAATTTCAAGAATTAATTTAATTAACTTAATATTTATAAAAGTTTGAACTTTTTAAAACAAAAATTCCAAATTAGTATATTTAAAGAAATTGTTTTAAACTTTTGTTTAAAAATTTTTAAAGGTTTTCTAAAAATAAAATTCCGAGAAATTTAAAGAAAAAAACAATAAAAATATTTATTTTTTGGAAACAATTCTAAAAATATTAAATTCGGATTAAAGAAAGATTAATTAAAACGTGAAAATAAAAATTATTTTTTTTATTAAAAATAAAAAATTATAATTAAATGAATTTAACACATTTAATTATTAATAATTAAAAAAGATCGAGTTCAAAAAATAAAGTTATTTTTATTGAAGAAAAAATAAAATTTTGTGTAAAAATTAATCTTAAATTTTTACAAAAGAACTGTCAATTAAAAGAAACATAGAAAAAATGTTGTTATTTTTAGAAAATAAAGTAATTTTAGCAAATCTTTAAATGTAGCAAATCTTTAATAAAATAGATAAATTTATTTAGCCAAACAAACAAAATTCTTACTTAAAATATAATTATAGTTGACTACTGGTTATAAACCCTCAAGGGAGATGATCAACGGTTGATAAAACAATATTTGTTTTGTTAAAGGAAATCTATCGTTAAATAATAGCTAATGTCAACCATAATATATTTTAAGGATTTAAAGTAAAATTAAATATGTAGTACTTAGGTTATCAACTAAGTTTTGAGCTCCCCCTGTGTTAAGAGTATTAAATTATTACAAAAATTCAACAAAATGTTATCCGAATTCAATTTGAAAATATAAATTTCGAAGTTATAGGTTTCTAGAGTTATAAGTTTATTTACCCTATAACTCCAAACTCTAGCGGTCCAACTTTGAACGGCCATAACTCGGCCCAAAGTAGCTAAAGTCAACCATAATATACATATAGCACTATCCAATAGAAAGTCGGGGGTCCTCTATCGAATGGTACCAGAAAAAATACCAAATTCGTGGTGACAGTAGCATATGTTCCCATGTTAATTAAAGGGAGCTCAAAACTAAGTTGACAGCCTAAGTATAAAGAAGAAATGGCAGTAACGGCATTTAAGATTATTTTTGTGGCAAGCAAAAGAGAGAAAGAAAGGAGAATTTACCCAAAAATATTTAAAAATCATTTAATTAGGTTTTTGTTGTTGTGTAGCAACTTTTTGATAAATAGACAAAGCTTGTGTTACAACACCCCCAATGTCTGATGGATTAGAAGGAATAATTAAAGTATTCGATTCTTTTGCCAAATTTGAGAAAGCTTTGACAAAATTGTCGGCAGTCAAAAAAGCGGCGGCATTTGACCCTCCAGAATTTTGAATTGCTTGTCCCATCCTCTCAAGAGAAGTTGCTCTAGCTTCATGTTCTATAGTAATAGCTTTAGCCAAACCCTCACTTCGGATAATTTGTGAATCTCTGTCAGCCTCCGCAAGAACAACTTGCGAAAGTTTTTCACTTTCTGCTGCCTTTGCTAGGGCAATTGATTTATTTACCTAAAAATATTTAAAAAATAAAAAATTGTTTTGTAAAAAATTAAAAAAAATTTAAGTATATTTTTAAAAACATTTTTGCTATGGATATTGAGCCGGTTATTAACTGGTACCAAGGTTTTCGGTTAATCCAAATTTTAATAACCCGGCTTCGGTTATTCTGATTTTTTATAATTGTAAAGTATTTAAATCTACCTTAGATTGCATTTCAGCCTCAGATTGTAATATTTTCTGTAGATTGTAATATTTTCTGTATCAGCAGCTTTAGCCAACCCCATAGATTTATTTACTTGTTCCTGCATTTGAGCTTCAGATTGAAGAATACGTGCACTCTTTTCCCCTTCTGCTTTATTCTTTGCAGCTTCACAAATACCTTCAGATTCGAGAATCATTGCTCTCTTTTTTCGTTCAGCTTCGACTTGCATCTTTAATTTTCAGAATTAAATTTAAAAATATTTTTTAGTTTACTTTCATTGCCCGCTGTATTTCAGGCGGCATAGTCATTGTACGTATTTCATATCGAAGGCAAATCAGACCCCACGGAGCGGCTGATTCCTTTATTCCTTCTAAAATTAATTTAAAAATTATTCCCAAAAAATTGAGAAGAATCAATTACCAACAACAGTCATATTTAAATTAGCCCTTTCATGGAAAACATTGTCTAGCATTAATTTGCCTACTTCTGCTCTCATTACTGTTTGAGCTAATTGACTTATAGCATATTCCGGATTTTGAACACCATAAGAAGCCTTTTTTAAATTTTTAATATTTAAATTATTGCTTAGAAGTTACTTTATAAGGATCAGTAACTCTAACATACAAAACAGCATCAAGGTCTAACTGGACATTATCTTTAGTAATAGCTTCTTGTTGGGGAATTTCAATACACATTTCTTTTAAACAATGACGGTAACGAATTTCATCAACACAAGGAATTAGAAAATGCACACCCTTTTAAAATTGACAAAAAGTTTAAGAGTATTAAATTTATTTAACACAAGTGTTTATTTTGGAATTTTTTTAAATTATTTTCTCCTCAGAAAATTGTTGACTATTGAAAAATTAAAAAATTTTATTTTCTAATTTATAACTAGATTATTTTTGGAATTAATTAATTTTAATTTTATTTTAATCCAAAATATTTTAGTTAATTTACAGGTTCCAAAATTCGATGAAAACGTCCCATCCGTTCAACTATCCAAGCATTTTGATGAGGCACACAATGAATAACAGTGTTAAACTTTCCACCTTTAAAATGTTTTGATTGTCGCATAATTAATATTTTTATTTTACTAAAAAATTTTAAAAAATAATCTTTTTAATTAAACAAATTGCCTGGGGGTATATTTTTATAAAATTCAGAAATTTGAAAAGTCGAAAAATTGATAAGAATTATTTTAAAAATGTTAAATATTAAATAATAAAATCTAAAGATTATTATGTAAAAATACTAGAGTAAGTCGAGTTCGAGCGAGTTCGAGTTACTCGACTCGACCGCTCGGGTTTTTTGCGTAATTACTCGACTCGGAACTCGGGATCATGATACTCGGATTACTCGAGCTCGGAAACTTCCTACTCGACAGACTCGGTTAAAACCGAGTATTTTTATGCCCCTATCTGCTGCACAAAAAGGAAGATTTTTAGCTTAAGGATCTTCCAAATTTTTCAAAATTTTCGCCTACGGCGCTGAAAAAGAAGAATTTTGCTCACTGGCCTTTCAAAACTCTCAAAATTTTCGCCTGCAGCCCTGAAAAGGAAGACTATATATCGAAGGATTTGAATGGAGTTAAATGGATTTTAGTTTTGAATGGAGTTTATTTGAATTGAGTTAGGTGGACCTTCAAAAATTCTCTCTCTCTCTCTCTCGCGAAAAGATAGGAATAGAGCAACGGATCTCATGATCACTTTTCGACAATATAACTAATCCGACGATATCCCAATTAATCTTCCGAATTTCTCAAATTTTGCTCCTAATACACCCAAATATCACTATAATCGGCCCAAATCCCGTTTAATCCCTTGATATCCATCTCATTCCTCTTATCACTCAATATCCCTTTAGACTACACGAATCCCCGAAATAATATTATCCATTGATTTTCAACCCGGAGTCGACATGGATTGTGTGCATATCATGGATTTTCTGCGGATTAAGAGGGATATAGACGGATTAACGAAAATAACTGGGATTTGGATGATGATCTAACACATTACTGTCAACAAATGCCTAATACTCAGCACTGATAATGAGTAAAAGTATTGTTTTTGGTAAAATTATTTTAGAATACTGTTTTATAAAAATTACTCGATTACTCGACTACTCGAACTCGAACTCGGCCTAAA